CTCTCTCTCTCTCTCTCTCTCTCTCTCTCTCTTTCTCCCTCTCTCTCCTTCCCAGCTGCCACAAGCTGAGCAGCTCCCTCTGGCACCCCCTTCCTCCATGATATTTCTGCCTTGCCACCACCACCCACAAATGACAGCACCAAGGGACCATGAACTGCGCCAAGGGACCATGAACTGCGCCCTCCGGAAGCCAACATAAGACCTTCCCCCTTAGAGCCAACATCCTCAGGCATTTGGTCCCAGTGACAGAAAGCTGATGCACATGGGACACTGAATTACAGTCACTGTGTCTGTCCCCTGCACATGTCCCGAGCACTGTGAAGGATGCAGGGGCAATCCCCACACGAGTGTGGAGCACAGGCAGCATCCAGAGCAGGAGGCGCCAATGCTACAGGCAGGGTCAGCCAACAGAGGGGAGAGGAACAGTAGGCCAGGCAGGTGAACAGGGACAGATGTGTCCCACCTCCCCAGGAAGTGGGACAGGGCTGTCTGTGGGACCCACCTCCGAGACTCCAGGGGTCAGGAAGGTGGCTGCGTACTCCACCAGCGCCACGTCCTGGACCATGCTGTGCGCCAGCTCTGAGAGCAGCGGGCTGGCCAGGCCGTGTCTGTGCAGCTTCTGCAGCAGGTGCATGATCAGGCGGTTCCTCTGGAGGCACTTCTGGACCAGGGATGCCAGCTTGGCCTGCACAGGGGAGACAGAGGGCACAGGGGTCCCGGGGATGCCTGGCTGATCTGGGGACACCCTGCACTCCACCTCGGCTCGACCTCAGCCCAGTGCAGCCTCCTCCTCCTCCCAGAAGCCTGGCCCCAGCTCCCCACTGCCCTCCCCATGGGGTCCAGGCTAGGAGGCAGGGATGGGAGCGTGGGCGTGGGCGTGGGCTCTGTACCAGGCTCCTGCCCACATTTGTCCGCCTGTCTGGTGGGGCTGGGAGGACATCAGGAGCTGTCACAAGCCAAGCCCCAGGGAGCCCTGAGATTCCATCTTTCACTACTGTTGGTAAAGCACAGGGGCCATCGAGGTCCCCATGAAAATTGGGGTGCATCCAGTGAGGAACAAGGGCAGGGGCTGGCGCTTCCCCAGGCTCAATCTCTCCTTTACAATGCAGACTTGAGCTCGGGGACGCGGTTTCCTGGGAGGGGAACTGGCTTTAGAGACTGAGGGGCTCGAAGCTCTGATTTAAGGGCTAAGGAAACTGAGGCCCCTGACAGCATCAGCGAACCTGGGTGCCCCCGAGTTCTGCCGATACCTACTCCAGGACCCCACCCTGCCCGCCACCCAGAGAGCAGAAAGGCAGGGCAGCCCGGCAGCCCCAACCCGGATCCAGGCCTAGATGAAATGTGTCTGCTTAGCAACTTCCGTGTCCAGTCAGCAAGGGGCACATGAGCCCCTTCAGCCAGCGGGGCTGCTTTTGGGTCCTATCCCTAACACTGATGCCAGATAGGTGGGGGTGCTCTAAGGAGAATGCACAGCAGGGCGCCTGTGTGGAACAGCATGTATGGGGAGCCAGACAGGCAGACAGACGGACAGAAGCATGCTGGAGCAGTGCTCGAACTGAGTGCTTCAACATGGAAAGCACCAAGGGTGGTTTCAGGGACTGCAGCCCTCCAGATGTCTCTGGGCCCGCGTGAGTGACAGTCTCCAGCTCACCACTGAGACCCTTTCTTTCTAATATGGTCCCGCGCCCTGAACTGAGGGTCTTGGCACTGAGCTACGTTCCCGGCCCTTCTTATTTTTCTATTTTGAGACAGGGTCTCACTAAGTCACTAAGTTGCTCAGGCTATGCTTGAAGTTGTGATCCTCCTGTCTCAGCCTCCAGAGGGCTAGGATGACAGGTGTGGGTCACCATACCCGGCTCTGGCCTGGGAGAAAACAGACCAGGAGAGAATACCTAAGGGCCACACTCAGAGGGGTCTGGGGGACCTTGGTCTCCATGGAAACCCTCTCCAGAATCTCCAGAGGACAGAGACAGGCAACCTCCACAGCAGGAAAGACAGCGGCCCTGCTCCAGAGCACAGGTCGCCGGCCCTGGGGACAGCTTACCTTCAGGGGACTCACAGCCAGGCGCGCTTCCCACTGCTCTTTCTGAAGCTCTTCAAGCTGAAACAGAAGCACAGATGAGCTGCTCCTCGGGGCCGGGTGGCTCTTTCCCTCCTGCTCGAGGACTCAGTACCCACACGGGCCTTTCCCACCCCCCAGGCAGGACTGCCCCGGGCTGAGCCGCTCAGAGTGGACTCCGTGGGGGACCCACACGTACCCATGGTTACAGCAGCACAACTCACAATAGCTAAACCTTGGAAGCAGCCTACATGTCCACCAATGGATGAATAGATAAAGCAAACGTGGTACTCACACCCAGAGGAGTACTACTGTGCCACAAAGAAGGATAAACTCGTGTCACCAATGGGACAAAGGGTGCACCTTGAGACCTCAGTGCTAAGTGAAATAAATCAGATGCAGTTTAAATATCACATGGTTTTTCTTACATGAGAACCCAAAGTATAGATGAAAGATAGATGACAGGATCAGGTGTGCAGTGAGCACGTTCCAGCCTCCAGGTGAATGCACTCACTGTGAATTGCAAACGTGGACTAATACAGAATTCAAACGTTTTTAAAAACCCTGAACTCTGTAGGCTGAAGTCTCCCCAGGCCAGCACTGAAGCCTCTTCCTCAGGAAGGACCTTGCCCTCATCCCTGGGCAGAGCCACCGAGATCGGGAGAGAAATACGGGCTCCTTGGCTTGGCCGCTCGAGTGAGCTCAGGCAGGTCCCTGGTCGCTCTCTGCCTCGGTTTCCTCATCTGGAAAGTGGGGGTGTGGCCCACAGTGAGGCCACTGACGTGCAGGGCACAGAGTCAGGCCTGGCACCTGGGCAGCACTCAGTCAATGCCAGCTACTGAGCCCAGCGTGGTGGTGTATGCCTATCATTCCAGCACTCTGAGAGGCTGAGACAGGAGGATTCCAAGTTCAAGCCCAGCCTGGGCAACTTAGTAACTTAGTGAGGCCTTGTCTCAAAATTTAAAGAAAAACAAGAACACCTAATTTTTTTAAAAGGCTGGCAAAACAGATCAGTGAGAAGGACCCTGAGTACAGCCCCCAGTTCTGGGGGGCAAAAGCCACCTACTGCCGCTATGGAGGAAGGTGGAAGGTGGGGACGGACTCCTTGATTCGGCTCCTGAGAGAGGGGCGGGGTCAGGTCTGCTGCCTGGCCCTGGGTGCCCTGCGTGCCTGGCACAAGCGGAAGTGACACGGTTGCCTTTCTGGTCCAGCCTCGGGAGGCCTGGAAGCTTCTCTTTACTCTCTCTTCTGGGGAGACACAAGGGAGGCCTGGGGCTGGCACACAGGGGGAGCAGGCAGTCCAGGGCCACCTTCTAGCCACCTGCACAAGGACTAGCACGTGCCTGTGCGCATGGAGCCATCTTGGGCCTCTGGCCCAGCCCAGTGTCCAGCTGGTAACCCACAGCTGCCTAACCAAGCGCCAGCTGAATGCCTGACGCAAGGGACGTGATAAAGCAAGTATCCATGAGCTCCTGTCACTGCTGTCCTGCTCCCTCTGTCATTAGAAAGGAAAAGACAAGTCCTTCTTCCTCCCACCAACCACTGCTGACTTCTAATGAGGTTTTAGCGTTACACAGCCACATGAATCAGAATGAAGTTCTGTAAAACATGTGTTGCATCGTGTTTTGTCATTTAATAGAAAATGTCAAAGTTGGGTACGGTGGTGCACGCCTGTCATCCCAGCACTAGGGAGGCTGAGGCAGGAGGATCACTGGGAGTTCAAGACCAGCCTGGGCTACACACCAAGACCCAGCCTCAATAAACAAAACAAAACAAACAAAACTTTTGGTGATATTTCCATAACATCATACACAATCTGACCTCATCCACTTAACCACTTTGAGTATTCTTTAATCGTGAGACTGAAACGTGATTGATTTAACCCACTGTCCGTGGAGATGTACACTGTTTCTCTTCTTTGTTTCAGGAAAGTGGCTTCTGTGGACAGTTCTTGCAGCTATTTTGGCCTGAATTCTGGGTGGAGTCCGAGCCCGGCTGGAGCAGACTCAGATTCGAAAGGCGCCTGGTGATGCTCACAGCTTCAGCGAACCTTCGCTGGCTTGGTTAGGAAATGGCACATCTGTGTCTCTGTGGGCTCTGTGCATGGCCTCTGCCATCACAAAGCGAACACAGATGACAGCACTCGGGGAGCACGCTCTCTGATCACACGTCTAACTCATCGTTTCCAAACTGCTCATCTTGTGGACTCTCGGTTCTCCTTACAAAAGATTATGTGTGATCATTATGCACCATTAAAATTAGTTAATTAATTAAAAACCGAGATAATCGTGGCTTTGTGTGCCGTTGTCAGAAGTGATTTGGAGGGGTCTCTAGTGCCCCTTGTCCGACTTCCCCGGGTGGGAACATTCTGCAGGACAGCATCGCACCTGGGGGGGGGGGGGCGGTATGCGGCAGCTGGGCTCCCCCCTCAGCGGGGATCGGGTCGGCAGGAGAATTGCTCAAGGCCAAGGCCCTGAGGGCTCCCACGGTTCAGGGTCCCTTCTGCTGCCTTTCTAACCACACTCGTGTCTCTCCCCACAGAGGAAGGTCTTGCGCCTTTCCTTAGAAAACCCTACATGACTATTTTTTTAAAATTTCCCTAACAGTTGCGTTGGATGGAGAGATAACCATCCAACTGGTATTGTTCTATATTTTAATTCTAATAAACTGTCCCATGTGCAGGGTCCGAACCTGAACAGACTGTTTCCTGCCCAGGACCTCCTGTGGAGGGGAATCCCTCACCGGAAGGGATGGAAGCGCCCCGCCTACCTTGGCCCTGAGCTCGCTCTGCTCATGCGCAGCCTGGTCCCTCACGGCCTGCAGCTCCCGGTTCGCCCAGCCCTGGTCCCTCAGCTGGCACTGCAGAGTCTGCACCTGGTGATGGAGCTGCTGGACACACAGCCCGGGGTCTTCCTCCGCCCCCTTGGCCTCGGAGTCCTGGGAATGCCTGCAGCACTGATCAGATGCAGTGGGGGTTAGCGCCCGAGCGACTAACAAACAGCCAGCACCTGCTTTTTTGTCTGCTTACATTTTCCTCATAGTAAAAACAATTTAGAAAATGAGGAGACACCCTGGCATGGTGGCACACGCCTATAATCCCAGCACTCCAGAGGCTGAGGCAGGAGAAACGCCATGAGTTCAAGGCCAGGTTGGGCTACATAAGTGAGTTCAAGGCCAGCCTGGAACACCACGCAAGACCTTGTCTTAAAAAGAAAACAAAAGAAAGAGGGGACAAAAATCACCCCAAACGCTACCATCCAGCATACCCATGTTACTATCCCCGTGTCTTCCACACAGCCTGTCCACTGTACCCCTGCGTGCACACGGATGTGGGGCTCAGGCTGGGTGTCTGAGGGGGTCCTGAGGGGCTGGGAAATCCCAGAAAAACATCCTAGAACGTTACTCTCAAAGATATGAAAAACGGAATCAAAAACAGGGCCTGGCTTAATCGCTGTTCATCACTATTATACGGAAACAGCACAATGATGCAATTTCACATCCAAACCGAGTCATGAGACGCTCGTTCCACGCCAGCGGCGTATCTTCATATAAAACAGAAAATGCTGAGTTTCCCACAGGGAATTAGGGCAATTTTGTCTTAGGCTGGCACAGAATCGCCTTTCTTGGAGGGAGGTGAGGGCGGTGGAGCCACATTGGAGCCCCGGGAGCTGCTAGGACATGGCCTGAACAGCAGGGACACTACTGCCCCCTAGTGGCCCTGCAGTCTAAATCCTCGTTTGTAGTAACAGAAACGCAGGCATGCGCACACACATACGTGCACTTACTTCTTCGTTATAAGACTGAATATACAATGCAGATCTTTGCTCTCTCCCTTAACACTGCAGCACTAGCACTTTCCCATGAGAACTGACTGCTGCTGGCACTGTGGCCGGCATCTGGGTGGCCTCTAATCCTGGAGCCCTGTGGCCATGTGGGCGACTCTGACCCTGAGTGGCATGACAGACCCCCTTGCCCGTGATTCCTGAGCTCACCTCTGCACTCTTTCCTAAGACACAGCAGGGGAATTCCACAGCCCAAGGGAGTCATCATTCAGCTCTTGCTTCCTGCCACAAAGGTGGTGTCTGCTGCTGCCCTAAAAGTTCCCTTTAGGAAGGAATGGGGAGCCTAGAAATTCAAAATGCCTTTCCCTGGCTTGGCACCTTCCACCTGTATTTAAAGCAGCCATGGACATTTTAGGACACATAAAGCTCATGTCTCCACCACGCCTGACCCAGAGGGGGTGGGTCAGAGGAGGACCCCAGGCTCCTCCACTTGGGAAAGGCAGAGAAGAGACAGGAGGGGGTCAAAGAGTAGCAGTCACGTGACTCCACACTTCAGCATCTCCTGCCAACAGGGACTCTGGCAGCTGAGTGTGATGTGTTCTCCAGAATTACTTGAAATTCACTCTGCGTGGGCCTGAGACACACAGGCTGGGCCCGGACAGGAACAGATGGGTGCCCTAATGCCTGCATTCAATTCCGCTCCAACTCTTCAAAATAACTTGGCCTTTCGGGGAGTTTGGTGCTGTGCTGCCGCCTCCCTCTTCTGGTAGTGACTGAGGCAAGACTTTGTCCCGGGGTTCTGAGAAAGCGTCCACACAGTCCCTGGAGAGAATGGCAGTGGGGCGGGGCCACCTGCCTGTCACCTGGTGCTGTCCACACAGCAGACCCTAGGAGCACGCTCCAGCCACATGCTGCACTCGGGCTTGGGACAGTGTCACACTGCCACCGAGGAGGTGGGGGGAGGGACACAGACACAGACGACTTTACACGGCGAGGTACAGGGAGGCCAGGAGGGCTGAGGAGGCCCTGGGAGGGACTGGGCTGAGGCCTTGTCCATGCCACAGTGGCAAATGCTGCCATCCCTGCACCTGCCCATGCTCATGGTGTAAAAGCCCCACCACGACCAAATGCAGACCAAAAAAACGACACCAGTGGACCCAGAGTTAGGAAGAGATGCATGTGAATCAACCCAACACCCCTCACCCTGAGCCCCAACATGAGACCTGAAGATGGGAAGTGGATCCCAGGAGAAAGTGAGGTGCAAAGAGGGCCAAGGAAAGTGCACAGAACCTGGGCTGAGGCTGCAGCTCAGTGTGAGGGACCAGGAGTGGAAGGGGTAACTGAGGATCACAGGGCTCGGGCTGGGCCATTACCGAGCATGAGAATCTGGATTTTACACCCAGTGCAGCAGGGAGCCATGGGAGGTTTCAGGCCAGGACTCATGTGATTAGGAGCTTTCCTCACCTCTGCTTCTGTCCATGCCTAAACCCCATGGATTCCATCTCCTGTTGCTGATTCAAAATTCCTCAGCCCTAGGACAACACTTGGCTATAATACCCAACCTCCTGCTCTCCACTGCTCCCTTCAATCCACCTGGCCCCTTCTCCTTACAGCAGGCTGTGATCTTTTCCTGCTCAAGATCATGCTGTATATGGAAAGGATCAAAGGAGGGCCCCAGAGCCTCCTGTGACCTGTGTCATGACAGCCTCTCCAACTTCATCTCCTACCAACTGTTCCTGCCCACTGTGTCACAGTGACGCCAGCCACCCGTCTTTCAGCAAGTCCAGCTCTTTCCTGCTTCGGAGCCTGGCCACTTGCCCTGAAATGCTCTTCTTCACTGTTTCTTTCCAGCCTTGAAAGTCTCAACTCCATAGTCACCTTCTCAGAGTTCCTGCTAGGCCAGAAGAGCTAGTATTAGAAAACTGAACTCTGTGGAGAATTTATAAGCATCATTCTTTCCAGGCCCTGGAAAGTAATCAAGGCAGGACTACAATCCTTGAGAACAAGGAAGCATGATAAGGCAAACCCTAAATTCCCTGGATTTCCCTCTGAAATGTTTTACAAAGCATAGTTCAGGAAAGTCCTATGTGAGAATGGAGCTGCAGCTGGGTGGAGGCAGAGATGGGATCCGGGGCTGCAAAGACAGCTAGGCCTGTGGGACCGAGAGGAGAGAACTTCAGAGGGAACATCAAATGCCGTCCTACAAATGTCCCTAAAATATCTTTGGCTGAATCATAAGCTGTGTGGCATGGTGCAAAACTCGACCCTTTGCACAGGACAGCAGCTGGAAGTCAATCCCCAGAGATCCAGAGCTTACACGGCTCTGAGAAGGTGGCATCAGCCTAAGCCAAGAGGAAGTGGCCTTGGTGAATATGCTGGTAATTCAGTCAATATCACTAAAAGGCCATGTGTAGGGGTGAAGGCCATACCATGGGAGCCACAGCAACTCCACACTTGTACATGAATAAGATGATCTGCCAATCATTCAACCACCTGCCACTCATTCGCCCATCCACCAAAATGAAACCCACTCAGCATTCTCTGGAGGAAGGTGGTAATCAGGGATCTCCACAACATATATAAGTCCAATGTCAAAAATTATTTTAATTCCTGGACATGTGATGAAGCAAGAAAAGGTGACTGTAATCAAAAAACTAAAGGCCGGGGATTTAGCTCAGTGGTTCCACCGCCTGTCTCCTCAAAAGTGCAAGGCCCTAAATTCAATCCCCGATACAAAAAAAAAAAAAAAAAGAGAGCAATCAAAAAACTAAAACAGCCAATAGAAGCAAGCAAGAAGATGATCCAGGTACTGGTAGTAACTGACAAGGCTTGCAAAAGAACTATAATGTACATGTTTATACATATAAAAAGATGAGTAAAATGGATGAGAACATGAAGTATTGCAACAAAGAATTGAAATTTCTTTTTCTAAAAAGGAATTAAATGAGTATTCTAGCTCACAAAATACAAACTAAAATTAGAAACTCATTAGGTGGATTTAACAAAAGACAGACACAGTGGAAGACATGATGAGAAAATAAAAGAAAGGTCAGCAGAAAATCCAATCTGAAATAAAGAGGAAAAAGTACAACACAGTTTTCAAAAGATGTGGGATTCAGATGACAAATCTGGATTTCTTAGAAGAAAGACAGCAAAATGAGGCAGGATAAAATATCTGAAGAAATAACAACAAAGAGTTTTTCAAGTCTGATAAAAGACATAAATATACAACTTCAAGCAGTTCAGAAAAACCAAGTAGGATAAACACAAATAAAACCATCCCAAAGTCAAATCATGTTCAAGCTACCAAACCTCAAGGAGAAAAGGGAAATCTTAAATGAAGTAAAAAACAAACAAATACATTTCTTTCAGGGGGAAAAAAATCACAACTGATTTCTGAACCAAAACTATGGGAGGCAGAAGGGAATGGAACAAGATCTTTCAGGCCAGGGATTTAGCTCAGTGGTTTCACCACCTGCCTCACAAGTGCAAGGTCCCAAGTTCGATCCCCATTACCAAAAAAAAAAACCCAAAAAACAAAGCAACTGCATCCTTAACTGACATTTGGCCACGGAAGGAGCTGAGTGGCACCACACCTGCCTGGCAAGTGCAAGGTCCTGAGTTCAATCCCCAGTTCCACCAAAAAAAAAAAAGATCTTTCAGTGCCTGAAGAGGGGGAAATACCTGCCTATCCAAATTCTGAATCCAGGGGGAAAGAACCTTTAAATGGGATGATGGAAAACTGTTTTCATAAAGAGAAGCATGAAATAGCCAATCACTAGCAAATCTCACCATAAGAAACACCAATGATCTTAAGGCAGAAAGAAAAAGAATCCACAGCCCAAGAATCTGTGGAGATGTAGGTAAACAGAATTTAACAACAACATAAAACAACAGTAACAGGATTGGGGATTTAGCTCAGTGGTGCCACTGTCTGCTTTGCAAGTGCAAGGTCCCGAGTTCAATCCCCGGTACAAAAAAAAAGTAAAAATGCTTTGTAAAATTTAGTACACACAGGTATAATGTGCATGACAAAAACAAAAAAAAGAGGCCCACCTAAGATCAGCGAGATGATGAGGACCCCTCGGCATGCCCACCAGCAAGCAGCTCAGGCACACGGGCACCTGCAACCCCTGCCCCCCCATCACCCCCTCCCCCTGCCTCTGGCCTCCT